ATCTTGATGTTCTTGGTACTATAATAAGTTATATGAATGCTATTGTATTTTGATTATGTCTAGAGCCCTAGGATTAAAACGTGGTTTTCGTATTATGTTATTCTTGGTATGTTTGGGGTGGGATTTTGCATGATCGGGTGTTGAGTCTTGGCATGTTTAGGAATCGTGTTAGAAAGTGTTTGGTGTGATTCTTGGTTTAATTCCGTTAATTGAATATGTGGTGTTGTCATTATGTGTTTGAATGTGTTTGGACATGGTTTCGGGTTCCACGAGAGATCCAGGGACCATAAAGTTGCCTGTGTATCAGTAGGGGGTAGGTGGGGGACTGACCTCCCAACACTTACCCGATGCCCGCCTCTACTGTTCCAGCGGGCAGCCGGCGGGTGGTGGACTGCCCGCCGGCCACCCGCTGGAATAGTGCCCGCCGCCGGCGGGTGGTCCTCCACCCGCCACCTACTCGCTGGAATCCCGGCATGGTTCGTGGTGTTTTTCACCGTTTGATGTTTCCCCATGTCCTGTTGTATCCCGTTTGTCGTGTGTGAGTCTAGTTTGATGTATCGGGTACCGTTCTTAGGATAAAAGAGTCTTGTGTATTGCATGCTAGTTGAATTGGTATCCCGTTGGCCTAGGAGGAAGGTGTATGATCCCGTAGGAGTGTCATGGGTGGGTTAATGTAGTTTGTTACGTATGAGTTATGTTAAGTGTCCCCCGATGATTCCCCCTCGTTATGTGTTAATGTGGGTTGCATGTTGTTTGGCTTCTATGTTGTTGTGCATGATAACCCAATTGGTTGCGATCAATTGGCTATAATGACTATCTGGTTGGTTGAGAACAACCAGGTATTAACCCGACCGGTTGCGATCAGTCGGCTATACAGACAGTTGGATTGGTTGAGATCAATCGGCTGTTATATATATATATATATATATATATATATATATATATATATATATATATATATATATATAGGGTTGAGTTCAAATGAGGACAACAATATATAGAGGACTGTGAGGACAAATAATGGGCACACAACAAATTTATACCAGGCACACAACTTAATACATAATGGCACACAAGAATAAATGTAAACATCATGTTTCGAACCCAGGCTCTATAAATTAACAAATCTAGCACGTAACATACAAACTGTGGCACACGACTGCATTCAGCCATGCACACGACATACTGGCTAATGGCACACACTACATATGTCCTCACAGTCCTCTATAATATACTTGTCCTCATCTGAATACACATCTATATATATATATATAGGGCTGCGGTCCATAATCTGGTTGCGATCAGACATACTTGATAATAGGGCTGCGGTCCATAATTTGGTTGCGATCAAACTCTTATGATACAAATGAGCTGCGGTTCATTGATTGGTTGCGATCAATCTCCTTGTGCTGCGATACAAGTTAAAGTGTTGCGGGGCCATGTCAGGGCTATATGCACTAACCCACATGTATGGCCATGTAAATGGTCCTGCGGCACCACCATATGTGTATACACCGATACGTGCCTTATTGTTGATTGTTTGACTGTAATGATGACTGGATTTTGTTATGATTGGCATTGTGTAGCCTTGTAACCTTAGGATGCATGCTAGAATCTTTATGTTTATGTTTAATTATATTGAATGCATCTGTCATTGCTTGATTGAGTCTGTCTTCGGATTTAAATTAGAGTTTCGTAAGTATATATGTATTCCAGTTTCAAAATGAGTTTCTTATATCTACCTATATTGTACTTAACGCGTTGGAGTGGGTTACCAGCATCATTCACTGACGGTTGTTATACCGAATGTTTTTCAGGTAATGAGCCTTAGCTTCGGAACGCGTTAGTCAGAGCCTGGGCTTAGTTAGAATATTACAATTATCGGCCTGCGTGCCTTGAAGTTGTATTGAATGTTGACTTGAGGATTTCTTATGTTTGGATAGTTTAGCCTGTGTACGTAGGTTCTCAAACCTAGGTGTGGCATAGCACCCCGACTATTATGCTTAGTTCATGCTCTTTTTAGGAATTTATAATGGGATTACCTTTATTATAAATTTCAAAAGTTTCGAAAATTTGGGGTGTTACACTTGGTTTCATCATTTGTTTTATATCGATTGCTTGCATACTTGATAGCTATATTCTTTCTACCCCATATTCCCACCACACCCCACATCACACTTCTAAAGTGTGGAAAGGGAACCACGAATCACCCACCCACTCGTTTTCCCCCCCTCCGTCCATATGAGTGAACATCGAGGACGATGTTTGTTCTAAAGTGTGGAAAAGACGCACGTCGTGTTTCATTTGTCTTAACTCTTGAAGGGTGATTGATTGAGGCTCATATATGAATGAAATGGATGCCATTGTTTATATTATCTAAGAAATGTGCTCAAATGATGTGTGACATTTTTGAATCTTTGAGATGTTTTTTGAAAATATTGCCTCTTTACACCTTTTGAGCGTGAATAGAAACCACTTAGGTTTAAAATTTTGCATGTTTGTATGATATTCACCTTTTATTTTGCTTGGACCTTAGTAAACGATCTCTCGAAGTGGGAGTGTGTACATCCCAACCTAGAAATATAAGGTAGCAAGATCTGGAATTAAACAAATTCTCTGTATGGCATGGGGCAAAAGGTGAGCCTTTGGTGAGCATAGAGAGTAAAAATCCTGAATCCCTAGAAAAAAAAGCATGAGGGGTTGAAGTGAAATGAAGAAAGAGAAAAAGGCTAAGACTAAAAATAATGGCCACTCCTTGAGATAAGAAACGAGGTGAGCCATCTCGCTAGGGCTTGGGGCAAATCCATTGCACTGTCTTTGAAAAAGCGTAGAGCTCTACGTGAAGTCAGTTGTCCCAGTGGCGATGTCCTAGGAGATTATAAGAGAGAGAGGAGGGAAGCCACCCGGCTAGAAACTCGGCACCCATAACACTGACCTTCAAAAAAGCACGGAGCTCCATGTGAAGTCAGGTCGCCTGGTAATGATTCTAGGGGGATGAGAAAAAAGAGTGCCCGCCTAAGTCAACTAGCGAAGAGAGGTCCATGCCATACTTCACTTTATTTTATGTTAGGTCTTGGCCTATAAGGATGGAAAAGGGGTTGTTTGTACACACCGTTCCCACTAGTTGGATCGGCTTAAGGCCCTTGCAAAATCGAAGGTGAATCCAACTTTGGAATGCATGCTTGAATTGTGTGAGAGGTGTGACCCCTTTTGAGCTTATTTCTAAAACTTCTAGGGGCCTTTGTTTTCTCAAACATCTCTTAAATTGAAATGACTTTGTCATATCTTGTTTGCCACATTTGCTCTATAATATGAAGAATGCCATGCGTTTGATTCCTATGCCTACCCTCACATTAATTTGCCATTTGAGTGTTAAGTATCTTGTGAGACACATTTTAACACTTACGTTTTGATTTGATTCACATCTTGCTTGAGGACAAGCAAGACAAAAGTGTGGAAATTTGTGATAAGTGTTAAATTGTGTCACTTATATGGGAAATTTAGGAGTCATATTTTGCTAGAATTAGAGTCTATTGAGCCTATTATGTGTTTAATATAGCTTATTTTAATAAAAGTTAAGCACAAGAACCATGTGTGGTTACAATTGTGAAAAATAGCAAAATACTAACATTTTTAGGACATTTCGGCGATAGTTTGATAAATTGGGAATATAAAGAGCTAGAGATGTCCAAATAAGGTGATTCAAGTGGCATTGGATTGGCATTTCAAATATCTACAACTTTCATGAAGACTACAAAGGCCAATTAGGACATCTAGGCAGTCAAAATCAGCGAAGAACGCATCAGGATACCCAGTCACGCTGGCTTCACGCGAGTAACAACAGAGTAAATGGGGTAATCCATTTACGCCCGCATCACGCGCGTGAAGTGCGCGTAAATTGGAAATAACAGGCTGGTTGGTGAGATAAATGGGCGAAAATTCAGATTTGATGCATTATCATCATTATACACCTTTCAACTTTCTCTCTCTAGGTTTTTAGGTTAGATTTCTCTGCATCTTCTCTCTAGATCTAGATAGCCACTCTCGCTCTTCAATTCAAAAGAGGATCTTGCATTTTGTAGAAAGGATTTGGTAACTATTTCTTCATATCTTTATATTCATGCTTTAATTGCGCCATTTCCATCTCTTCTAGTTGCTAGATCTAAATTTCTACATATATATATAGTTTTATATATATAATATATAATATTTTATATTAAAACTTTAACAAAAAGAAAACTAAACTAAACCCTAATAGAGTAACAGGCTAACACTTACCCCTCCAAGTTTCGTGAGTCGTGACTCTCGTTGGGAGAAGAACAGAGAACGCCTCCAATGTTGCCTTCAAGCTTCCACTCTCCAACGGCTCTGCACTTCCGGTTGTGACTCGTGAGTCTCGTTACTCTGCCCTCGTCTGGATTCTGTGATAGAGAAGCTCCAACGCCTCCACTCTTGATCTATGTGACGGTTCCAGCAGCGATGGACGACAAGGGCACGATTCCAGTAGCGTAGGGCAGCAAGGGCGGTGCTTCTCTGTTTCCTCCGGCATAGGACTACAACGCATGACAGCAGCACTCTTCCTTCTGTTTTCTCCGGCAACTTCTCTGGTGCGGGACTGCGGGGTGTCCACAGTGCTTCTTCTCCGGCGGTAAGTTGGCAGTGGCGACTGGTAAGTATAAAAATATAAATATTATTTGTATAAATGTTATTATTTATTTATTTGACAATTTTATTTATAGTATGTGTTGTTGTTATTATTATTATTATTATTATTATTATTATTATTATTATTATTATTATTATTATTATTATTATTATTATTATTATTATTATTATTATTATAAATGTTATTATTTATTTATTTGATAATTTTATTTACAATATGTGTTGTTATTTATATATTATTATAATAATAGTAATTGTGAATTAAATTTGAAAATTATTTAATTTATATTATTGTAGTACTCAAAAAGTGATTATTGAATTTGTGGGCATATTTATTTAGGCAGTAGATTATTTTTTGTGGCTATGAAATCTTCAAATCTAAATGAGCAAACACAAGGACATGATGTTAGAGAATATGAGGTGGATGAGGTAATCATCTAAAATTTTCATAGTTTTTCTCAATTTATGGTCTTAGAATAAGTAATTGAATACCTGTCATTTTTATTGCCCTTGTACTTCTAGTTGGAATTTGTTTCCTTGTCTAAACTCTAGAATCTAGATAATGTATGTTGGTATCTTTAGTGAATGCTCCTAAACTTTTCCAGAAAATCAATTATGTTGATTTTAATGAAGTTAATGATGGAGGGGATAATGTACACGACTTGGATTTTAATGTGGAGCTTAATGATGATGCCATACAAAATGAAAATACAGATGTTGGAGATGAAAAAGGTGATGATGAGAAGGAATGTGAAAAGAATGATGATCAAGACCAATTTCAAAGGAAGAAAAGAAAGAGGGTATCAAAAGCACACGCTGATTTTAGTGAAGTTACTGCAAAGGATGGAAGTATAAAGCTATAATGTACACATTGTAAAACACTCCTTTCTAAGTCAGTGTCTTCTACAACAACTCATCTTTGGAACCATTTGAATAGATGTACACAAAAGAAGCTTCATACAAAAAATAAAAAAAGCCTTACAATTTCATAATGCAAAATCCAAGTTTGAGACACCACTTTTGTCATATGGTAAATATGATCATATGAAGCAAAGAGAAGCTATTGCTCATTGGATTCAAATGCACGAGCAACCGTTAAATGTTGTGGAAAATTATGGATTTACTTTACGTTCAAAGCTAATCTTCTACAATTTGAGAAAGTCTCTCGTGCCATGACAAAGAATGATGTCATTACTGTTTATGAAATAGAGAAGAAAATGATATAATTAATGTTAAGAACCATCAATAAGATATCATTGACCACTGATATTTGGAATTCTAAGGTGCAAAAGGTTTCATATATGTGTCACTGGACACTTTGTTGATTCAAATTGGCAACTTCAAAAGCGTGTACTTAGTTTCATGCATCTTCATCCTCCACATACTAGTAATGTTGTTCACTTGTTTGTAAACTATTTCTTGACTTTAATTATATTATTAATAATAATAACTATTTCTTTACTTTAATTATATTATTTCCATATTTCAGGTGTTGATATCATTGATGGGGTTATGAAGTCCACAAAAGATTGGGGGATAGAGCATAAAATCTTCACTATTTCAGTGGATAATGCTTCAAACAATGATGTTGCAGTTAGAATTGCTAAAGAAACTTTCTCCAGGAGTGATAAGCTACCTTTAGGTGGTAAGCTATTTCATGTGAGGTGCACTGCTCATATATTGAATCTTGTTGTTCAGGATGGTATTTCTACAATTAAAATCATTGTTGAGGATGTTAGGAATAGTGCGCGATTTATTAATCAGTGTGAGTTTAAGTTGTTGAAGTTCTCTGAAATTGTGTATCATTTGGAAATTCTGGTGAAAAAGTTAATTCTTGATTGTGTTACTCGTTTGAATTCTACATATGAAATGTTAATTGTAGCCATTAAAGTTAAGGATGCATTTCCAATATTTGCCAAAAAAGAGCCTTCATATAAATGTTGTCATAGCTTGGAAGATTGGATTAGAATACAGGATGTTCTTAGCATCTTAGAGGCGTTTTATGAAGCTACTCACGTGATCTCTGGAACTAATTATCCCACTTCTAATGTTTTTCTTGATGTTGTTTGGAGGTTCAATCATGTCTTAAATGAAAATGAGTTTCATCATGAAGAGCTAATTAGAAATATTGATTGGAAAGATGAAGACAAAATTTGACAAATATTGGGGTGATTGCAATCTTTTGATGTCTATTGGAGCAATACTTGATCCTGGGTACAAAATGAGGTTGGTTAATTTTGCTTTCAACTAAATATATAATGCAAATGATGCACGTATAAATGTGACGAAGGTCAAGGATGTATTATATGACTTGTTCTATGAATATGTTCAAATTGATAACATGAAAAATCGAAAAGGTAGTTCTTCTGTGACACATGTAGGGAGTTTGTCTGTTACTTCTACATGCTCTACTTCTAAAGGAAAAGTAGTTCTTTCTGGTTTTTCTTTGTATGATAAATATTTGGACAGTGTTGAAGATGAAACTCCAAACAAATCGGAGTTGGACATTTAGTTGGAGGAAGGGGTTTATTGGTGTCAAGATGGTGAAGTAACTTCCGAATTTGATGCCTTATCTTGGTGGAAATCTCATGACTTGAAGTTCAGTATTTTGTCTAAATTAGCATGTGATGTTTTAGCTATTCCAATCAGCACCGTGACATCAAAAGCCACATTTAGCGCAGATACCCGAGTTTTGGATCCTTATCGTGCTAAACTATCTTCTGATATGGTGCAAATTTTGATTTGTGGAGCATATTGGGTTCGTCAACTTCATGGGATCAATACGCCTATATGACACATGTAAGTTCTAATTTAGTGATTTAGTATATCTTATTGATTGAATGATAATAATATTAACTTTATTTTTATTTTTTGTAGGAGGAAGATGAACAAATTGATGTCATATTGCAAGCATGATGGTTTGATGATAGTTGAAGTGTAATTGTGGTTATTATTGTAGTACTTAATTGTGTAATTGTGGTTGTTATTGTAGTACTTAATTTATGGGTTTTATTGACTTTTTTTTTTTTGGATTGAAGTTAATCTTAATAAAGACTTAAAATTCTTATTCTACTATTTAATTTATGAATTTGATGATTGATTTTTTGTTGTTATTTTCATGTGATTCTTGATTAGTATATTAATATTAAATTTTATTCTATTTAAATCAATTTTTATTACATTTTATCTTAATTTATTGGAGAAGTTTGTACAAAATTAAGTTTGGCATTTCAATTCGAATATTCGAGTCGAATCGAATATATTCGAATAAACTAGTTGAATTGAATACGAATCAATTTTAAGATTCGAATATTAAACGAATACGAATACGAATATTCGAATATATAGTCGAATTCGAATCGAATAGTGAGATATTTGACTCGATTCGTTTACACCCATACACGCAACTAGAGCGTCTCTCAAATGACTTTTCACGTTTTGTTTGGTACTACCCGATGAAATTCAAATCTGATATATATTCTATATTTGCCAAGTTTCGTGCATCCGTAGAAAAATGTTTCTCAACCTCTATTAAATGCATTCAGTCTAATATGGGCGGTGATTACCGGAAACTCCATCCAAAGTATTCGCCTCCGCATGGATTTCAGACAGATATTCATGCCCACACACACACAAGCAAAATGGCCGTGTGGAACGTAAACATCGCCATGTAGTCGAAACCCGGCTAACTTTACTAGCTCAGAGTCATGTTCCACAAAAATATTGGCCTTATGCGTTCAAGTCCGCGGTTCATCTAATTAATCGCCTTCCGTCCACTGTTTCCCAAAATTTCAGTCCTTATTTTCGGTTATTTAACAATTCTGCCCATTATAGTCTATTACGTGTGTTTGGATGCGAGTGTTTTCCGTGCCTCTGTCCATATAACAAACACAAAATGGACTTCCGCTCTATTTTTTGTGTTTTTCAGGGATATCCAGAATCTTTTCTTGGTTACAGGTGCTTATACAAAGATTCAGGCCGCATTTATATTGCAAGCTACATGCGGTTTAATGAAGAAGTCTTCCCGTTCCAAAACCCGCAACATGCCTCCACTACTAATTCTAGTGTTGCGGCCGCGCTACCATGGGCATGTGCACAACTTCATCAGCCTTCACCGCCAATACAATCTCCGCCAACACCCCCGCTACGACCACCCTTGAGTCAATCCCCACCCACGCAACCACCAGCTGCCCACCCGCCTATACTGACAACTTCCTCCTCGACAGCAGTCGTAGCCTCCTCGTCCTTTCTGCCATCGACCTCGTCGACCACCACAGGCAGAGGCAGACCCCGCACTAGACCAAATGTACGTACTTAGACCATGTAGCTACGTACAACAACACATGTAAGGAGACATCAACCAACTGCGATGGTAGCTTCAGTAGATGATGATGAGCCATCTTGTCACTCGCAAGCTGTCAAGTCTTCACATTGGCGAACTGCTATGGACACTGGATTTAACGCCCTTTTGCTAAATCAAACTTGGCGCCTCGTACCTGCACGCCGTGACATGAACATAATCGGATGCAAATGGATTTTTCGCATTAAGCAAAAATCTGATGGCACCATCAAGCGGTTCAAGGCTCGCCTTGTCTCCAAGGGGTTCAACCAAATCCCAGGTAAGGATTACCTTGAAACGTATAGTCTCTTGGTCAAACCAACAACTATCAGGCTACTTCTAGCCTTTGCCGTGTCACATAAATGGACTATGCACCAATTGGACGTCCACAACGCCTTTCTAAACGGGTGCATTGATGAGGACATCTATATGCGCCAGTCACCCGGCTACGCGAATCCCAACTTTCCCGATCATATGTGTAAGCTACAACATTCATTGTACGGCCTAAAACAGGCCCTCATGCATTGTTTAAAAGGTTTCACGACTTTCTGTTGCAAGTTGGGTTCCGTCCCTCGAAAATGGATGTATCCTTGTTTATCTTTGATTCAGGACAGGTACGTGTGTATGTATTGGTCTATGTCGACAACATCCTTTTGCTGGGCAACAACTCCGGAATGATTGACGGCGTCATGACTCAGCTCTCTTCGTCCTTCCGAATTCGTGATCTTGGCACGCCTCGGTTATTTTTAGGAATTGAAGCTTATTATGTCATGGATGCATTGGTGCTATCTCAACAACGCTACATGACGGAACTTCTCCAGAAAGCCGGTATGGAGTCTTGCAAGCCGTTATCCATTCCAATGTCACTCGTCACTTCTAATACTTCTGCTGATTCGACCCTTATAGATCCCACGCCTTACAAACACCTTGTTGGGTCCTTGATGTATCTCCTAATTACCCGACCGGATTTGTCTTTTGTGGTGAACCACCTATGCCAGTTTATGCATAGTCCGACGCAAGATCATTGGGTGGCCCTGTAACACCCTCGATTTTTACCACATTTTTAAAACTTAAATTCAAAGGAAAAATCTAATCATCAAGACATAAAGCAAGCGGAAGCTATATAAAATCGGTAAGTGTTATGCCACACCTAACTCAAACATAGGTGCACAGGCGAAAAACTATCAAGTCAACAAAACAGAAAACGTCTATGCACATAGGCCACTAACTAGGCTCACAGGCCAACAAAAGGTGACGTCTAAACATGGTAGCTAGTTTATCTAGCGATCCACATCTAGCACTCTCAACATCTACTCAAAACCTGTAGAATCAAGGGATAACACCCGATCAGCGAATATTGCTGGTAACCCATCAATACGCGTTAAATAACATATATAGATAAATATAATCAAAACCATTTTGAAACGGGATACAGTATATATCATTTCAGAACCAAGGAGAGAAGTCAACTTCAAAGACTCATCAATCACTCTCAAAAGAAATGGGAATTACCATCTTCACAACAACAACAAGA